CCAAAACCTTGCCAGGCAAACCCAATACAACCGGAAACAGCAGAAAGCCCCTGTGCTATTTAGGAGAGAAATGCTGAAGTTGTCATTAAGGAAAGCGCCATTTTTTCTCCCTTTATTTAGTTACTGTGAGATGAGAACTAACTTCTTTTCTGTTCAGACTTGTGGGCTCTGCAAGTTGCATGGCGGCTCATGGCCCTTTATGGAGACATAGCCTGGGGTGCCCAGCACGCAGAGAGCCGCCTGCCTCGTACCATCTTGGAGGCCTTACAGGAGCCTGTTCTTAATGAGTACTCTGGAGCTGGTTTTGTTTACCAAGTGGAAAACACATGTTCTATTGTTTTTGTTTGTTTGATGATAGAAATCATATTTGTTTCCACCAAAGTGAAGTCAAAACAAAAGATCAAAAATTAAATCACTATTTTTCTCCTCTTAATGCACGTATGGGAATTGCCTGGAAACCATCTTGAGTCACAGAATTATAGGGCAAAATCTTGAAGTATTGACTCAGAAAAAAACCCCTACTGACTTCAAAGAGAATGCTGCCTGAATAAGAATTGAAGAGGGATTGCAGAGTCTCAATGAAACATGGCTTCAGTGGGAATGGTGCGGTCCTGATTAGGAATTTGCAAGATCAAAAACTGGGAAAGTTAGAGATCTACTGGATCATACAGCCAATCTCACACAGCCATGGGGAATACTGCTCTCTGCGAGACGTTCAGTGCTTCTCAGAGCCCTCAGATGTCCTCTTTCTAGCGGACTTACATTTCTTATATACTATTTCAGGTCCGCATCTACATACACATGCATACATACATGAGTTGAAAATCCTTGCCTGAGTGTCAGAGTATTTTCAAAAGGGAAATGCTAACGTGTTCATTTTGTTTTGAAGAGATTATCTCTGTCATGTTTACTTCAGGGCTCAGAAACTGTCACATTTCCGTGTGAAAGATGGCTTGCAAAGTCTGAAGATGATGGCGAGATTGTCAGAGAACTGGTACCATCTGATATTTTTACTGAAAAGCTCATGAAGGACGGGACACTCAAGCAGATAGAGGAAGAAGTTGAAGACCCATTGGAAGGTAATATAATCCTAGGAGTAGGTAGGGGCCTGTTAATCTGATTTTTTGGAATAAAACTTATGGACATGTGGATGTGTGGATCAAGCAAATGCAACACTGGTATGACAGTTCACATTTCTTTCCCTTCTTGTTCTCTGGCCTCTCTTATACCTGAAGTGTTTCTGTGCCATAATACCGTTATTTTCCTGTAGGGCATTTATAAACCTCTCACCGGCACCCTTTCACACAGGCATAGTTTACATATCTCCTGTGATGCCTCACAAGGTTCCTCCATCTTGTCCTTGTCTTCCAGGCACTGTAAATATCTTCACTTGTTTGCCCAACTTCACCTGTCCTGTGCACTCTGCCCCTTCCTTTCCTACCCTACCATAGAATCACAGAATCATTAAGGTGGGAAAAGCCCTTATCATCGAGTCCAGCCATCAACCCAACACCACCATGGCCACTAAACCATGTCCTGAAGTGCCATGTCCACATGTTTTCTGAACCCCCCCAGTGATGGTGGCTCCACCACCTCCCTGGGCAGCCTGTTCCAATGCTTGATCACTCTCTCCGTAAAGAAATTTTTCCTCATATCCAGTCTTTTTCTCATATCCCCTGGCACAACTTGAGGCCATTTCCTCTCTTCCTATTGCTAGTTACTTGGAAGAAGAAACCAACACCCACCTCACTACCACCTCCTTTCAGGTAGTTGTAGAGAGTGATGAGGGCTCCCCTCAGCCTCCTCTTCTCCGGACTGAACAAACCCAGTTCCCTCAGCTGCTCCTCATAAGACTTGTGCTCCAGCCCCCTCACCAGCTTCGTTGCCCTTCTCTGGACACGCTCCAGCACCTCAGCATCCTTCTTGTAGTGAGGGGCCCAACACTGAACACAGGATTCAAGGTGCAGCCTCACCAGTGCTGAGTACAGGGGGATGATCGCTTCCCTTCTCCTGCTGACCACACTATTGCTGATACAGGCCAGGGTGCTGTTGGCCGCCTTGGCCACCTGGACACAGTCTGATTGATGCTCCTCTTTTCTCCCAAAGTTGTTTTTCTTGCTGCTCTTCAGGTACATGTGGACATCCTCTAAAAATTTGGCTCTAGGCAGCCACCCTAACCTCATTAAAGTACCTCTGGGGAGTAGAATAAATTCTTATGCAGCTCTGAGTCCATCTTAAAAAGTGTTCACATTCAGCGTTTGGTCCTCCTGGTAGCTGAAGCAACTGAACAAGAACTGAAGTTTCATCCTAAATTCATTGTTTCTCTGTATGCCCAGCTGTTCCTAATTCTTTTTCCTGTAGGACTTCCTTTTCCCACCCAGAGCTCCTTCTACACTTGAGAGAAGTCGTGAACCTTCCTACATCCTGAGCAGAGCAAATTGAATTCAGCTGCCACCTTCATTCTTGTTTCTTGCATCTGGCAACAAGATGATTCGACAGAGAAAATCATTCCTCTCCCTGTTTCATTTCTCTCAGAGTCTGATTTACATTTACAGTGCACCATTGTCAGGGTGGAATTTATACAGACTGTGTTTCCAATTGCCAAGGGAAGAGCTGCCTTGCTGTAAGGAAGGCTGGGGCCTTTGCACTGTGCCCTTAGAAGAGACAAGTGTGCTCTTTCCTCCTGTTAGGAGCTATGTGGTAGCTCATGGGAGATTTTTTTCCTGGGGAGGCAAAGACAGTTTTACTATCAATTAGTAAGTGGCATGACTGCTAGGTGCCTGCATGACCTTTTCTTTAACTTACTAACTTCTGTTGCTTTACCTTGCATTAGTTACCATGTGTTAACTAACCTGGGTAACTCATTTTTTTCCTTCTAAAGGCAAAGCCTTAAAACAAGTTTTACAATCCATGGAATAGGGTTTTCAGATAACTGAAAGTTTCTTTTGGCTGGGAGCTAGGGCTATGTTTGGGAACTTCTGTTTTAGATATAAAATATTGGACAGGAAGTATATCTTCTGCACCTCTGAGTCCTCATACACCTTGGGTAGTGACACAGTGTACACGAGAGCAATGGAAAATCAGGTTGTGGTATTCTGAAGATCATCTTTTATGTAGTAGACTGCACTTCAGTCCTCAAGGTCTCTAGAACTGGCAAGCAAAACCAAAGAGGGAAGCATTGACTAATTAGACTATATGCATTTCTTCCTTCATTACTAATGTAGCAGTTGTCTCTCAAATATGAAGCTGTCACTCTGTAGGACATAATGTGAAGAGGCAAACCAGAAAACCTGGCATTGCACCTAGCCTGATGAATGGCCATGATCCATTTCTTAGAGAGATCAATGGAAGTCTTTCATGGACTATGAAATAGAATAGGCCTTGTTTTACTGGGAAAGCAAGGTACAGAAGAAAATGACAATATAGTATTTTCTTTGATAATGTTAATGTACATCTGTAGAAGAATCCTAAGACTTTGTGCCTCTTCCTCATTTGTATTGCCCTAGGATTTGCAAGGAGGCATTCTTCAGGGCTCATATGCCACCAGGGTAATCAGAGGCTTGTACAGTTCCTAATTGTTTCCTGGAGAGGATGCTTTCAGTAACTTTGTTTGCCCTGTGTAATTGGGAAAAGAGTAGCAAAATAAAAATAGGAGTATTTAACAGATTTAGTAAAGCACATTACTAAAGATTTGGTGAGGTTTTATTGGATCATCATTGAGCAAGCTAAAGAGAAAGGGTACTTAAACAGTATATCTCCAACACTTCCTTAATTAAATACTGTCTCAGCAAAAGGACCCGAAACATGTTCTCGTTCTGTTTGGGGAATTTATAGAGATACACACCATTAACTCTGGTAGTAATTGCACATCTGAATCTCTGGAGTTTGTTTATGGAAGATGGAGTATTAAGAATTCACAACACTGAATCACTTGTATTCAGATGTATCTCCCTTGAGCCTCAGTATGGAGAGGTGCAGAGCTCCCTCACCTCTGTCGACATCGCATCCAGTAATAACCATAATGATTCTTTGCATTTTTAACTGTGCACTATGTGATCAAAACACCACACAGGCATTGATTAGATGTAAAAAAGGAAAGTCAGCAAATTTCAGCCCAGTGATTCCCCAACCTTTGGATCGTTATCAGAAGCCTGGAAGGACAAAGCATATAGGACTTTAAACCTCCAAGAACTGAGTGAGGAGCAGAAAGTTTGGGGACCATATTCTTAGGTAAATTCAGTATCTAAGATAAGCCTTAATAATTCACCTGGCCAGGAATCACATCTCCCTTTCTTTCTGCAGTTCACACGTACAAGATAAGCGTGTTCACTGGAGATATCTATGGTGCTGGGACAGATGCTAATGTTTTCCTAAATATCTATGGGGATCTGGGGGACACAGGAGAGAGAAAACTCAGCAAATCTGAAACAAACTTCAACAAGTTTGAAAGAGGACAGGTACAAATGCAACGGGTTAATAATGCTTTGTATTTTGCAGCCTTTAACCTAACAAGCCCATGACTGTCTTTACAGGCCGAGTTTTCCTATGAGGGATGAATGGATTGATTCTATTTATCATGTTCATTACCTTTTCAAACGCCTTGTATGGATTGTCAGCTGGGTGTTACGACTGACAGGCACTGTAGCAAATGGGTAGATGTTTCTGTGAAGTCCTTGATAGACAAATCATGAGCTTGGTTCATACAAACTGGCTTGAATTGTTAGCTGCAGATTGGAGAGCACGCAAAACCTGAGGTCTCTCATTCCCTTAGCCTCTGTGCAACTGATTTGCATGTGCATAGTATATATTATAATTGACTGCAGAACATAGTAAACTGATGGGACCTAAACAGTGGCTGTGTTTGACAAAATAACTCTGAAAGTGGTACTCTGTGGTCAGTCCATGAGTCATATTCGCAGCTTCATGTGGACATACTCAGATATAATGATGGCAAAGATTGTCTTATCTGGATTGTCCATACCAATCTAACTGGATTAGAAAAGGAAGTCTTTCTTAGACTTAAAAACCAAGATGTAAAATTCCAAGAATTCAGTATTTTAATTGGTAGTAAAAGTGACATTTTTGTGCAGCTCCACTCATAGCAGAAAGAGGCTTCAAAACGCTTCCCTGCAGAACAGTTTTAGCGTACAGAGATGCCTCTATAGACTGCTGCAAAGCTTTTAACCAAACATGGGAGATGGAATTTAAATGCATATTATGCTCTGTAGTCTCCATTTGCTTTTGTCCAGTAGATGATCTGTTGAGAGCTCATTAACAGAATCAACTGCTGTTGAACACTTTGCAGGAGGATACATTTACTATACAGGCTGTGGACCTTGGCATTTTGTACAAGATCAAGATTCGTCATGACAATAGCATGTTCAGTCCTGACTGGTTCCTGGAAAAAGTAGAGATCCTGGATGAGACCACAGAGGAGTCTTTCATTTTCCTGTGTGAGCGCTGGCTCTCTAAAAAGAAAGAGGACAAAAAAATAGAGCGTATACTTTATGAACAGGTATGGTTATGGCTCAAAGCTGGGATCACAAACCACTGCTACTAATAAATATAAAATGACTGAATATCTGGTTGAAGTCCAATACAGATCATTAGGGACTTATGCTTTTTCACTTGTCCAAAATGAATTTGTGATTTTTTTGACAAGTGCTGAAAGTATGGCCACTCTCAGCCCAGTATCACTAGGTCTGTAATTTGCAGTTTCAACAGGAAAATCTAGGAGTCTAAGTGAAACTCTACAGCTGATTGTCAAAGTACCTTGCTGATGCACAGTAGAGTATATTTCCCTGCTGCTCTCCTTGCTGTGCCCACAAAGAAGGTTAGTTATGGGTCCCACTATTCAAAGTCCTCAAGCCAAAATATTGGGTCACAGAATCACAGAATCATTAAGGTTGGAAAAGACTTTCAAGATCATCAATTACAACCGTCAGCCCAGTACCACCAAGCCCACTAAATCATATCCTGAAGTGCCATGTCCACATGTTTTTTGAGCACTTCCAGTGATGGTGATTCCACCACCTGCCTGGGCAGCCCGTTCCAATGCTTGATCACTCTCTCTGTAAAGAAATTTTTCCTAATATCCAGTCTAAACCTCCCCTGGCACAACTTCAGGCCATTTCCTCTCGTTCTATTGCTAGCTACTTGGAAGAAGAAACCAACACCCACCTCACTACCACCTCCTTTCAGGTAGTTGTAGAGAGCAATGAGGGCTCCCCTCAGCCTCCTCTTCTCCGGACTGAACAAACCCAGTTCCCTCAGCTGCTCCTCATAAGACTTGTGCTCCAGCCCCCTCACCAGCTTCGTTGGCCTTCTCTGGGCACGCTCCAGCACCTCAATGTCCTTCTTGTGGGGAGTGGCCCAAAATTGAACACAAGATTGGAGGTGTGGCCTCACCAGTGCTGAGTACAGGGGCACGATCTCTGCCCTGCTCCTGCTGGCCACACTATTGCTGATACAGGCCAGGACGCTGTTGGCCTTCTTGGCCACCTGGGCACACTGCCGGCTCATGTTCAGCCGGCTGTCAACCAGCACCCCCAAGCCCTTTTCCACCCGGCAGCTCTCCAGCCACTCCTCCCCAAGCCTGTAGCGTTGCATGGGGTTGTTGTGACCCCAGTGCAGGACCTGGCACTTGGCCTTATTAAACCTCATATAGTTGATCTCTGCCCATTGATCCAGCCTGTCCAGATCCCTCTGCAGAACCTTCCTGCCCTCCAGCAGATCAACACGCCCACCCAAAAAAGGACTCTAGGTCCTTTGACTTCATCCTCATTGGACTGGATGTGTTTATCTTTTCAGCAAATTCTTCCACCAATGCCAAACATAAAAAAATCTAATTTCTTTGCTACTGCTCAAATCACCAAATGGTTTTTAGTGAAATGTCCTTTCTACTTGCACATTCTCTGTTGCTTTATCAGGCTAATATAGCTAATTGGAATTCGAGGTACATACACTAATTAAAATTAGCAAACAAGATTAATAGACCTCTCTTGCTTCTGTACAGTGAGGCATAATAAAGCAGCTGATTATAAGTCCATTGTATTTAAGGAGTTCACTTCACAAAATACAGTGACATTTTAATTGACAGTTACCACTAAAATTATCATCGATGAAGCTGGGCCAGACTCATCCTGAATACAACAGAATGGATGTAAGAAGAGTTACACCATGGATGATTATTGCCATATGCTCCCTCATAAAATTGCAGCAGACAATGCTATGAATTCTTGTGGTCACACTTGCCCTGTTGCTCATATTAATTCATAATGAGGAAAAGCTAATCAATTTATTTTTTTTAATTACATGACTGTGTGGTAAGAGCCTCACATTTATTGGACAATGACACCGAATGCATCTGCACTAACTCCTCAAATACAATAGATATTTCATATCATTCAGCTTTGCCGTACTCTCCCTCTTACGCTCTTTGACCTGTACCAGGTCAATTAATTTGGCACCACAGTGTGTGCCCTGATAAGCAAATCTGGCACCGTCCCATCCATCTGAATTTTCTGCAGCTATTGCTCACACAGGTAGCAGAGAAAAGTCACGAGGTACCAATAAAGTCCATTAGGTCCATTATATTTTCTTTTATTATAACACACATCCAAAATGGCCTGTCAGGGTTACCAGTGAAGTAAGTGAATGACCTGCAGTAAATTAGAAGTCACACTTATTTGAGCTACACTGAGCGAAAAGCTACCTGGGGAACTAGAGGGATTTCTTCTCTTGTTCTTGGAGGCATATGGGAATAGCTGACGACACCTGAGCACTCAACCTCATTACCCTCTCATACATGCCTTCCAACTAGAGCTATGATGGCGAGCGAAACAGCCTGGATGGCTCATCTCTCAGCCTGTCGAGCCAGGATAGCAATGCAAACCTGAAGGAGATGAAGAAATCCAGCTTGGTCAAGGCGGCAGAAGAAGGATCATGTGAGCAGGCACCATGTTTGATTGCATGCATGCATGTGTTCTTGGCTTTCAGTGCTTGAGAGGTTGCATTCATCCCGGTGTCTTCACTCCTTTTGCAAGGAGAGGCAGAACAGCAAGTTGCTTCTCTTCACCTTGTGTTGTGACTGCTTGGGAAAGGCTGGAGAAGTGCTTGTGTTTCTGTGTTTGTTGCTTTTCCTATAGCTTTCTGACCCTAACAGTGGAATAAGCCTGAAGTTAACAGCAACTTCGGTGTTTCCAACCCTGTTCTTTCCTCTCCTGTGAAAATTTGTGATGCTGTAGCTTGTCAGAATTAACTTCTCCGTTGCCAGCAGACGTAAGTTCTCCAAGCAGACTTGTGCTTTGGACAATGTGACAATATCGTTAGGTAGGTGGTTATTCAAGGGTACGCCGTTTTCTGTTGTGGTGAGGTAAAAGGCACAGGGGACCTCTATAGGCAACTACAATCCCAAATTGTGTTCTTTAGATGTCTAAAATTAGGTGAGTGCATCCACACCACCAAATGTGGAAAAGGAGCTAGTCAACAACATCCACAGGGCCTCCTCAGAAAGAAACCCAATGACCTGAAGAATCATACTCCCTCTTCCTCCTCCTCCACCAACAACAAACTCATTGCACGCAGCACTTCAGAGGTGGGAAGAAGTGAACGGCGGGGTCTGATAGAGTTAAAGGAATGATTTATTCAAGTTTCATATAATTTTGTCTGAAGTGTCCTTCAAAGGATGCAAAGCTCTTTGCAGTGAGAGGGACCGTAGTCAGACATGCTATCACCAAAAGAGCCTCTTTTGGATTACCAGAAGCTCTTTTCCACATGATTCCTTAAAGTAGCTCTTGTTGCTGATACCAGCTTTTTTTTTTTTCATCCTATATCTCTTTGACCTACTCAAGATGATGTTTCATGTTTTTTAACATGAATTCAAATGTGATTTATTTTAGAAACCTTCAGGTTTTTTCCTTACAACACGTAGCTGCATGACAGAACCTGTTGGGTTGGGAGGGGAGTGGGATACAGGGAGTGGAGCAAGAGCACAGATAAGTCTCTCAGCTCTCAGAAAACAAGCTTCAGCTGAGAGTACTCAGGTGAATTTGTTCTTTTCTATAAGGTGGATTGTCTTATAATTGGAAGGAGGAAGGTCTGCAAATGCTGTCACTGAGAGAAAAGGAGTCCATGAACTCTGGACTGAAGTTCTTGCTCAAATAACTGATGGAAACCATTGATGGTTCCAGTCTAGATTTTCATCTTTAGGCTCTGATCCCTGAGACAAAGCAAAGCTGAGTATAAAAGAAAAATATGTTTCTGGATTGCAAGTTATAAAAAGTGAAATATGCTGGACTGTGTCTGTAAAAGCCAGCATTCATGCAGGGAGGCTGGTCTTGCTTGGCTGTGTCTGATACGAAGTGGGACAGTTGTGCAGGTTTTGTTTCTGTCCTGGCTGTGAACGAAGTGTGGATGATCACTGTCCATCAGCTGAAGTTAACCTTCATGGAAAACTTCCCCAGTCCATTAATATTTCCTTATAACTTCATTACACAGGCTTTATTTCTCTGTATTTATGTACCTTTTGATTAACCACCTCTATGTTCCAGGACAATGGCTTATCATCCAAACTGCACCTACAGTTCATTGCCATCCTACATGGGATCTTTTAGCTTCAGATTAAGATTTTAGATGTATGGTTAAGATACCGTGTTGTACCAAGTAACTGGGCAGCAGCTGAGTCACTGTTACTGTCTGTATATGTGCTCTTAGTCCACAGAAAGTGCAAAATAATTAAACTTCTCTTAAAGTTCCATGGTAAGCCAAGTGTAAAATGTTGTAATTTGGCATAGGAATATAAGATAGCTTTCTCTGATATGGTCCAAGGGATTTCACACAAATGGTTACTGCAGCTCAGCTGATGCCCAGTAGCTGGTTGTGATGTGATACCTGGGTTGCATGTCTCACACCTTTAAGTTTTGAAGCAGACATAATGCTGCACATTGCTTAACCTGGTCTGCAACCCGTGCGTCTTGAGGCAATCCTTCTTTTGTAATCCCATAATGTGTCCAAATGAAAAAGATGTGATTCCCATGTTCCTTCTGATATTACTTCTGTGGTGAGACAATGGATAACATCTGCCATGTTGGCATGCCATGTAGTTTCACAAATAATGGGTAAAACATCAGCATCTCCCCGGAGAACTCATCTCTAGCAGAGCTGGGATAGTTCCCATCATCCCCATTGTGACAGGGTGGTCTTTCTTCTCTGAGTCCTGGAGCTTGTCATCGCCACTATCTCTGTGGCAGTGACATGGCCTCATTAAGGAAACTGCATCTTGAAGGAATGTCAGATATGATGGACTGTGGGAGCCAGACAGCCACCTCCTGAGCTGGGTAAAAAAACAGCTGTTAATTAGTTGATTAGGGGAAGTGGTATTGGGAGGTGCCTGGGAAAGGGAGTGACAGTTTGAGCAGCCCAGTTCTGACTCTCCCATGCTCAGATGTGAATACCTCTGAGAGGCAGGAGGTGATGCCAGGATGGAGCACAGAGAAAAGTCCTGTTGACTAGGAACCCGCTTGGGTCTGAACTGGGAACCCTGCTCCATGCTGGAAGGCAGTGCTGGAGAGGGTGTGGTCTACATCCCTGACGAAACCCAACCGCCTGTGGAGGGGACACGTGCCCTCCAACAGCCTGAACTCTGCCCAGGGACTCAGGGAAACAAGGGGCAAAGGGAGATGGGCTGGTGGACCTGTGGTGTCCTACTGTGGCCTTGTACCTCAGGTTTTGCATTGATGTTTGAAGAAGTAGAACTTCCAATAGAAGTAGAACTCCCAGAGAAAGAGGGAGACAATGGAGGCGGGAGATAAAGAAATCAAAGGATCACTCTTGCAGTTTTTAGAGGAAAGAACAACAGTGATTATTTATGAGAAATTTAACAATTTCTTATAGTTCTCATTTTTTATATAGGTGTTTCAAATACTTTGGCTTGAGGGTGCAACATTAGTTGGAAATGCTGGTAGTTCTGTGAACTTAGCCTGCCACAGGAGAACAGGATAAAAACTGTATAAAAGAAAATTTTATCCCTATTCAAAACATCCTTTATTTAAAAGAGGAGTCTGGAGCTGTTCTAAACATGACCCCTCAACATATTTTTGTAATATCTGTCTTGCCTCAGCTAAACCCTTTCTCCTGCTAATACCAGCAGCTCAATGGTTATTTCGTGAAGAATGCATTGCATGTCATTATGCTGATGTGCACACTGAAATGTAAATGATACCATAAAGGGGAGAATAAGTCTTGCCTAATCATCAGTTCATTTTGTGTTGGTACACAAGATCCTCAAACTGGAACTGAACAAATCTCTGGGTTCTGCTCTGTCCAGAGGTAAGAACAGATTTGGTCAGCATCAATTCATGCCTTCCCTGATATTGCACATGTATCCTGAGCTTCATGTGAGTTTCTAGCACAACCCTCCACACCAAAAATATTGTTAGTCATTATAAAGCAAAATCCTGGATGATTTGAAAGCCAACCAAGTTTTTTTGTCAAGGTTTATAAACCCTTTTTTTAAATTGAAAAAGTGATGATGAGGTCAGGCTGAGTTTTGAGTCTGTGACGAGGCAAGTTTCAGAGCTCCGAGTCTTGTCAGAACAGTTTGAACAGCCCTGCATGAATGTTCTGAGAAATCAAACCAGTATTCAGCATCTAGTTCTGCACAGCCTGCTCGGCTTACCCAAATGAGCTCTTGGAAGGCACTCGAAAAGCAGTCTGGCACTTCTTCCCTTTTAACAGCTGAACTGAAATTTCTGAAAACCACAGCGAAACCTGCTAAGTCCCAAGCCTTGGCCTGAAGGTTTTTCCCCTAACCAATATTATTACGCAATGTAAAAAATTATTGAATGACCTACCTTTAATACAAGAATTATTCATAGTTTGCCTGGATTTGCAAAGGGATGTTGAAACCCTGAGCTGCCCCGTAGATCACAGCAATCCTTGAATGAAGCAGAAAGGAGAACATTTGCAGTTGTATTGGGATATTCAGTCAGTGATGGTTTACCTTGGAGTCAGCATAGATTTATTTGCCTTTATTGAATGGTCAGTGTAAGATCGCTTTGGTTTAATAGCCTATTTAAGATTTAGGTGCTCAGTCTCATCTTCAGGAAGGTCTCTTGGTGTAAATAAGGATTCAAGTCCTTTGCTGTTCTGTCATCTATTAGAGAGAAATCTGGACTTATAACCTCCTTGCAGCCAGTAGAGTTGTCTGGGGAAATTAACCCTTGCGGAATTCAATCCCAAGTGTGTACGGGAAAGCAGTCCCCCATGCATATTTGTAGCCCAATGCAGCATGGTGTTATCCCTTCTCCGAATGAGTTCAATGGGACGTGAACCTATTTAGCATACACAGCTGCTCCCTCTGATGGGATGAGTCCCCGGTTTTCTGAAGTCTCATGTAAATGCGTATGCGTGTGGGTTTTCTGATGATTAAACCTCTGTTTCTTACAGTGATCCCATACCACATCACCGTCACGACGGGCACAGAATATGACTCCAGCACCGACAGCCGAGTGTACATCATCATCGTGGGCCCTCAGAAAGTGCAGACGGAGAGGCTGTGGCTGGATCTCCCAGAAGGAAAAGATGAGTTTGCGGATGGCTCCGTAGAGAAATTCTCTGTTTGGGGCCTAGATGTTGGAGAGATCAAAAAAGTGGAGGTACTTTGTGAATGCAGCACAAACACTGGAGCCATATGAAATACGTGGCCAAAGAAAGCACATGTTCCTGTTATTCTTAGCAGTGAAGGAACGGCACTGCAGTCTGAAAGGAATGTAAACAGGGATGTGCTAACGAGATTTCACATGTGTCTGAACCTGAGAATAAGTATGCTTTACATCTCACAAAACCAAGATCCTTGGGAGGCAGAAGATAATTTTGAATTATAAAGAAGTTGTAACATGTCCCAGCTTTGTCTCATCTCTGGCACTGTTTTTTCTTAGCCAAGCCCTGTTATTGACAGATGCAGTGAACGTTCCCAGGATGCAGTCCTCCACCATCAGTCTTTTTCCTAGTTGATTTTTACAGTACTTCCAGTTGGGTTTCATAAATTGTGCCTGCAGTGAGAAACACATCTTGTATAATTTTCTAGCTAAACATGAAAATTGTTTTCACAGCTTGGAGGACCCAGGCTTCGAGAAGAAAATTAATCATTGTTCATAAGTAACATGCACAAATAAATTTTGGAACAGGAGCCATTTTTTCCGCTATGGCTTAGGGAGACAGAATTTGCATGGACATTCAATCACTGAGCTTAAACTTCACATGAATCTTCCGGAGCACTTGTGTACATTGTTTTTGTTTCATAAGGCAGTTCCATCTCCTAAAAGCCTGCTCCAGCTCCTGAATGCTGAAACCTACAGCATCTGAGGGCTTCAAGAGCCCATTTACTTTTATTTTTACCTCTGTTTTGCAGTAAACCAACCTGTTGGTGTGCGTGCTTGTGTATTCAGAGGGAGATTAGTGAAAGAAATATAAAGAGAGAAATCCTAACTAATTAAAAAAAATCTTTGCAGTTGTATGTCATGTTTTAGCAGCTGGTAGACTAAAGCACTCCCATTAGCATTCATTCAAGCAATGGATTCTGACACCTTGAGAAGTCTCCATACTAGATTTGAGTTTATTATCAAGCCATTTTCTTAATGCATTCCAAGTGCCTGGTTATTATGACTATTAGTGGCACTTTCGATCTAGTCCATCTCTAGGTCAAACTTTGAAAATGAAGCAAGTACGTAAATCCTTCTCTTCTAGACTGTGTGCACATGGAAACAACTTGGGCTGGGATAGAGAGGGAGGAAAAAGCCAGTATAACCCCTCTGTGTCAGAGAGACAGAAGGAGCTGGATGAAGAAAGAAATAGAAAGTGATGTTGGAAAAGAGACAGTAAGTAGGGTGAGGAAGGGCAGAGAATGGGAGAAAGTAGGAGCAGACACTTGGAAATGGACAGAAGCAAGGAAAAGAAATAATTTGAAAAGGATTACAAATGGGAAAGAAGAGAAAAGGTTGCAAATGAAATGCGGAGAATTAGAAAAAGGAATAACATATAGCTTTCAGGCTGGTTGATGTTCTTCTGCACTCTTCACTCCTGTCCTCAATGATCTTACCGGTCTGCTGCCTCACCTCTTGCTCATTTTTCCCTTTTAGTTTGTAACCCCCCAGCTCGTGGCTGGAGAAACCATCTGCTCCTGGCCTTCTGCCTGCTCTCTGCTTGGAAGGCCTCTTCTTGTTGATCCATGTCCCAGCGATGACATCGATGTGCCAGTCTGCTGTGGTTGCCATGGAATCAGTCCATATTTTCCATGTAGAAAATTGCAGTGTTCAGGGACGTTGCAGAAAATTGCTAGTTTTCTGCTTGGGAAAAGTGAGGAACAGTTCGTTCTCTGATTTGGCATTTGGCTGCTTCTGGAAGAAGGCAAGAAGTTCTGAATACGAGTTACCATGTGAAAATATTATAGCATGGGGATTAAGTTTCCAGAAGCCCTCTGTGTAAACCCAGGCAGCAGACTGCAGGATTTAGTAGGATCGTAAGATTTGCAGCGTGATGCCACTTTTAGTTTGGTATTATTCTCCTGCTGCAAATATACAATAGTGAGAGCAGAAACAGTGGAATATGAAGTAATTTGAAAGGGGCCCATTTATACCTGTCTTGTAAGCCTACAGATATAATATTTACTACTGGTGTACTTTAATAGACACACTGACATGAAAATAAATAATACAAGTTATTTGGTATAGGCACTTTATACTGTGTCCTTCAAACAAGTTTTAATATTTCTTCTCCTAATTAATGAAAGTATCTCTGTTCCTAGATTGCTGTTGCTGCAGAGAGACACAGGTATGATCAGAAGTGTCCTGCCTTGGTCTGCATTTCTAAACCATTTCTGGTTCAGAGTCTTTCTCCATCACAAGCACAGAGCAAAGTGTGATGGACTGTAAAGTGTTGCAAGTCCAGTCCCTCGCTGACTAGGGACCTGATCCTGGAAGACCCTCAGGTCTCTCTAATATTCTCTGCACCTTCCAGAATAAGCAAGAAATCCTTTTTGTTTTCATCTTTTCCTTCTAGCTACCACTCACATTCTCTGCCATTTTCCTCTGTTGTTGCATTCTGTTTCAATGCGATTGTGAGCTGCCCAGTGCAAATTGTGCATCTTAGTCTTGGTGATTTCAAAGATTTTCAAACAGCTCAAGGATCTAGCTGCCTTTGAAATCCTGTCACTCTAACTTAGCTCAAACATCTCAGCCCAAACAACTTGTTGCGATATTGGTATGCATGTCCAGGCTACACTGCTGGTGTGGCCATGGCTTTTGGATCATTCACTCCATTGGCATGGTCTATCTAAAGATTTTGCTTGAAAGACAAATCCCAGTGTTTCTGCTCTGAAAGACCAGCCATAAGGAAGACTCAGCACTGGATGAGTTTATCCCAGACTTTACAACATTAGACATCTGCTTGTGTGCAGCTTCTCCAAGGCAACTGGATGTGCAAGATGCTTTCTTCTGGCCAGTCACTGATACCAAAGGAATTAAAGGATGCTGTGAAAATCTAGTACCTAGCAATGTCTTGGAATGATGCTTTAGGAGGTGGCTGTAATGAACCCAAAAGAGGAACAGAGTTTAATGGGCTCACTGGGATTTTTCCTTTGGCTGCTCTGTCCCCGCTTCACTGCAGATCCTTTGCGCTGAACTTTCCCCAGCGCCTCATCCGTACCGTCCTGCAACAGGTCTCAAGAGGCCGTGTGCAGGCTCTCAGAGGGGCTTTGGCTTTGGAGAAGGGCAGCCAAGCTGGCAGAGAGGGAATGGGAAGGCAAGTGTTATATTCCCATTCACCTCACACCCCAGGAATCTGAGAATTAATGCATCCATTGTAGACTTGAATTTCCCTAGTGGTTAACGCTAATTTTCTGCAGCTGCACAGACATTAGTATAGTAATAATACTCCTAATAGCAGTGATGGCTGAGACAGTCAGATAAAAAAGATCACTTGTTTTTTGGGGGAAAAAAAAGATACCACAGATATATCACCCTAGATGAACCTGTTATTAAAAATTATTTTCTGCACAACCTTAAACATCCTAATAATTTAAAAACAAAAACAGCGAGAGCTAAGGACTTAATTTTCCTAGTAACGACACAAACAACACTTGCTCTGAAAATAATGAACTGTTGGTAGCTCTTATATTCAACCCTTTGTGTACAGATAGCTCATTGAAATGACTGGCTGACTGAGCTTTGTACATCAGCTGCGATACATAAGTCTGCCCCGGGATGAATTGCCCGTGTTCTTTAAGAGGAACACAGGCAGTTTCTTGCAGAAGTTTGCACCATCAGTAACCATTACTGCTGATGTACCTGTAGGAACGTTGCTTGTTCCTCTTTATGGTCCTTGCTAGACTCCGCTCCAGGTAGGCTTTGGCTTTCCTAACCTCATCCCTGCACACTTGGGCAGCGTCTCTGTATTTCTCCAGGTCCCTTGTCCCTGTTGCCACCTCTATTATTCTTCCTTTTTCCATTTAAGTTTTGTCAGGAGCCCCTTGTTCATCCATGCAGGCTTCCTGCCGCTCTTGTGTGACTTCCTGCTCTCCAGGATGCACCATTTTTGAGCCTGGAGAAGGCGCTTCTTGAAAATCAAACAGCTACAGATGTAAGCTCCATCTGCGGGCTCCTATACAAACATGGAGCTTTTGCAGTTTAAGGAGATGGGAAGCAGAGAAACAGCCTGATACATACAGTTGACTTAGATGTAGTTTTGTGAGGGAAGGATTGCTTGAATAACGCATGTGGGTGTTTGCCTAGCTACATCTTTACTCCTGCTTATGAAGTTTTGGCTAGTCGCTTCCAAGTGTTGCAACAGCAGTGGTTGGAAAGATGGAGAAATGGGTCTGCAGAGATCAGTAGACTTGCAGATAGAGGCCAATGGAGCAGAAGTAGAGTAGTAAGAGACTGCACATGTTTTCGTGTAGGTCAGTGCAGTCTACCTATTTCATGTTCCCCTTGCTTACTTTTCCCCTACTTTTTCCTGCCTTTCCTCATGCTCAGCAGCAGATGACCTGAGCTTCCTTGCCCACATCAGCTACTATGTACCCTGATGTCTTAACTGTTGGGCGGCAATAGCACAAAAAATTTCACAGCTTGCTCCGTTCCACTGTGGAAGTGGTTTGTGTGACAGTGTACGTAGTCAACACTCAGTCCTTCATCACTGTTTAAAACCCTCAGTCAGGGTCTCGCCTCCAAAGAAATCCCCTTTAACCAGCAGGTGTTTTCTCGATGACTCTCACAGGTGGGACACGACGGCGCTACTCCTGAGAGCTGCTGGCTGATGGAAGAGCTCACCATTGTCGTGCCCACCAAAGGCGTCATGTATAACTTTGTCTGTAAGTGCTGGCTGGCCAGAGACAAAGGTGATGGACTAACCTCACGAATCCTCAATATCCTGGATGCAGACTGTGTTAACATTGGCCTCAAGGTAGGCTCTAGGCTCATCCTGTATCTTTAGCTGTTGCATGGACCTGTGCTGATACAGGTTGTGCATCAGCAGCTCTCATACTTTGACTTCTGGATGTGGTTTGAGCCATTTATTTGTTAATTCTTTAGCAAAATCTTTAGGAATTTTTAGCATCGTTACCACTTAGAACACTGTTTAATACAGCTGGCTGGACACAGACATGGCACAGGGAGAAAGATCAGGGTAGGGCACAGTTCAGCAGCATGTCCTCATTTTGTCACCAGACTTGAAGCACCCACTGCATCCCCTAGGACCCACAGAGGGGGTGCAGCCACAAGATGAACACCTTGGTGCAATCTAACTTTGTGTTTTGTTTGAGGACATACTTCTAACTCATCAAATTAGAGTAGTGGAGATATTTTAATCTCTGTATAGTATGACTACATATCAGCTTTTCTAATATGGAATAGGGAAACTTAATTCAGTTAGAAACCAATAATAACTGGAAGTTGTTGAAACATGGAGATATTTGTAAGCTTGATCTTTGAAATGAATAGCTGATTAAAGTTGAATAAACAATGAAGAAAACCATATAGTCTTTTCATCCATATATATGAAATTTGAAGTAATATATGCCATGCCATATTTCAACCAAGTACAAATTGGAAAGCTGAACTATGCTGATTTTGGATGTAAGATTTATAATAGAAATAACAACCTGGATGAATAGGACAATAATACTGTGTTTAATACCTGTATGGCAATTTAAAATCTCTCTAGAAATGTTTCTATTTACAGCGAGGTTACACTTCCATAGTACATTAATTTTTCTTTATGCTGCCCTTGATTCCCCAGCTACGGATATTCTCCTGAAATCTTTTTTGTTCCCCAGACACACAAAAGCATGATAACATTTGTAGCACCTCTGAAGGATTCAAGTTTTAGTGGTAGAATTTACCTAAGAGGGAAAATAAACTCCCTCAGACTGAATACCACGGTTAAAATCTAATCTCTTAAAAACTTCCTATAAGTTGTTTAACCTCCTGGATGAGGTTTCCAAACTCCTATCAGTGACCTGATGGCTTGCCCATAGACTGAAGTGGATGTTAATGAAGACTTATGTTCAGTCTTCCTTTAAAAGCCCTATCCTGAATACTTATTTTCATGAGCATGCCAAAAATAGACATATCTAACTATTTTTTTTCTATGATGTTGGGGCAGAAACTTGCTGAATCGTTTGAAGGAGATCAGGGAAGATGCTTGAGACGTTAAATCAGAAGTGCATATTTGACTTTGTGATCATTCTCCTAGTTGAGGGAATTTGGGACTGTTTTCTCATAAATAGCTGTAGTTAGAAACTGAGTTTAATTTTTTTTTTTTTTTAGAGTTCAAAGAAGACTAATACCCTTAACATCTTTGGGAAAGTTAATGCTTTTTTGTTTTGCTTTTGCTTGACTCTTGCACATCCATACATACACATTTCAATTTAATTTTCTTCTTGGCTTGATATTCGCTCTTTGTGTTTTAAATTGAGTATTTGCCTTCCCGTACAAAAAGAAATTAATTAATGTCCACCACAGTCATTAAAAATGTTTAATGCATTTGTAAAAGAGTTTTTCTTCTACCACCTATTGTAAATATGATTCTCTGCCATGATGTAAAATGTGTGTGGATGAATATGTGATGGACAGGTTACTCAGGATTGAAGAAGCATGCAAAATATTTTTTCTATGGCATTATTCCTTTGCACTGTTTATTTATGTGGCGATCACAATTCAGGCCAATAAAACTTGCCCAGCGGTGCACTATTTGAAATATGTTTTGTTGGGGCTGTTTCTTGATATTCTTCCACCTCTTAAATCCAGAGATCTTGTTACCATAGGTACGATCTTGAAAATGTCTAAGTGGCCTAAAAGTCTTAATGCCACTGACAGCCACTGGGACTTGCATGCTTTTGAAAGATTTTATTCTGAATCTTATTATTCACATGTCAAGAGAAAAGAACAGAAGCTAATAAGGTGAAAGTGATGCACATCATCTTTTCACAAATTGGCATACATTTAATGTATGAGATTTGGGAACACTCTGCGTTCGATGCAGCAGTGTACGTCCCACTGGGAAATAGGATAGCTGCATTTTTCTGCTGTACAGAACGTTTGGCTGTATAGACTTTAAAACTATTAGTGATGTTGGACTAAATGTTGCCCAGATGGACACTGAACATTTGGGGGAAATATTTTGCAGTCAAGGGAAACAAAAAAATTGTGTCTTTGGGAGCTGTTTTTAAAAATGGCAAACTTTTGGTGCAGTATGGACATCTGGAGCGCTGAAAGATGGCTGGCAGGAGGCGGCAGTAGGGTTGTGACTCCCATGGAGAAGCAGTTTACCAGGTCTTCATCAATCCCCAAACATATAGTTGTCAAAATCCATGTGTCTTTCTCTGACTCTATCATCTAAGCTGAGAAAATCTGCAGAAAAAGTCATAGATGATGCGAAGAGGAAGGTCCTGTAGCAAGTTGCAATCTCTAACTTTGCCTCTGAGAACCACGATGAGGAGAGAACTCAAGAAGCCATGTTGTAATGATTTCTGGCAAAGCAGCAGATCTCCTGCAGAGCCTGGCTAGCATTCTGCCCAGCCTTTTGCGTGGGGTAAGGACGGCTGTTCGAATGAGACTTTCTAATTGTTTTAAATCCTCACCAGATCCTCTACGAAGTCACAGTTGTGACTGGAGACATCGAAAGCGGCGGTACCGACACCAGTATTTTCATGACTGTCTTTGGATCCAATGGGAACACTGAGGAGATGCAGCTCGAAAAAAACGGAGACAGGTACAGTTCCTTTGTGATTTTTGTTGGTTAGAAGTGGAGTGGTAACAGATTCTGGTGTCAAGTCAAGAAGCACTCAGGGCTTTGACCATGCTCACACTGAAACACAAAGAGAAACTCCCTTTGACTTTATAGATTCAGAATGGGGCCCTTTGTTATTGTAATGTATATAGCAGAGTGGAGGAAAGCAGTGCACTTTGTAGCCAGGGGAATCATCCTTTGTCATTTGCAGAAGTTTTGTTTATCCTATTCCTCAATGGCTTTAGAGATAAACGTTGTGAACAAAAATATGAATTGTGAAGTCCTGCGTTGGCTCCAAGAGGAACTGTGGACATTGCATGAAAACACAGGTGTAGTTTCTGCAAAATGCATCTTTTGTGGAAAAATAAATAATTTAATTTGAACATTATTTAATGGGAATGCATGGGTAACTGCATAATGAAAGACAAACCAACATGCACATATCTGCTTTGGGAAGTACCTGTGATGGGAAGGTGCTGACTCTCCTCTGTCTGCTCCTCTCCTTTGCTGAAGTGTCCAGATATGAGCCAGCTTGGTCCAGAAGCTGCCTGAGGGATGCCAGGGCCTGAGCTGGTGAACTGAGGGCCCGGAGGAGAAGTGAGCTTCTTAGCTCGGGCTCTGCGCCACGTTAATGTAACCACGCAGTTTTGGAACTGGAGCTGACTTGTCTGCAGCTGGCACAAAAGGGACACGTGATGACATCTGTCTGCCCAGATGTGGCCTTACAGCGCAGAGAGGCAGAAACAGGCTGTGCGTTGTGCAGACTGCTGCACTGCATGCTCTCATTTTACTAAAAAGCTGAAATCTCATGTTTTCTTCAGCATAAGCGTCCTTCAAACGCTGTAACCCTAGTCTGACGCCAGCATTTCTATAAGCCAAAAAAACCCCATGTGCCACTGATCCATTTCCTAACGCTTTCCTGTTCCTTTCTAGCACCTCCCTCGGTACAGAAAGCTTCGGCATGCTCAAGAATAAACTTGCCACTAACCATCTTTTAGAGATGGGCTTCGTCAGGCTTAAATTTAATTAATTGACTACCTCTGATCTTATACAGCAAAGCATCTACAGAGCATCAGGAGGGCTGGAGCATTTGGCCACATGGTTCGAGCTCAGCTCGCGGAGGTGATGCTGGACACTTCCTCCAGCCTCCAGGTGACGCAGCTCCTCTGCTGCAGCTCTGCGTGTCACGTGTGGGCTGGATAATTGAAGATAAGGCTCCCCGCACAGAGGGCTTTGCTCAGGGGATGTTTTACTTGCAGCTGTCATAGCAGAGTGGGTATCTGGGCAAAGTGTGTTCAGCCTAGCTTGAAACCTTCATGTGTTTAGTTAGTAACAAGCATGGGCCCCGTTTGCTATGAAAAAAAATGTAGCAGAGATGCTGCTGACTAAAATCTCCATGAGAAACATGGCTGAGTCATGCAGAAAGCTGTAGCTCTTGGCCTTGCTCTCCATCACAGAGAGGCACCCAGCACGTGGGGCAATGTACCTGGGTTACCTGCACGTTGGGCTATCAGTGACGTCCTCCTTCCAAGACCTCAGGCAATCCCAAACGATCTGTCTTTCACTATTTTAAGCCCAACATTCAATTCTAGTACATGGGGAAATGGACCATGACTGTTTGTATTTAAAAGTAAAGCAAAATTCACATCAGGCTACATCAACCAAAAACCTCTAAAGGGGGCCAAGATGTCTCCAACCCCTGAAGAGAGGGATTGCAGTTTCACTCCAGCTGGCCAGGCAAGTGTGTGGCCTATAAAAAAAATCACTTTTGTTTATACGGGTGGGATGGATAAACTCTGCTATAAGGATACGAAAATGTAATAAAGGAGGGCCACACAGTTTATATGTTATTAGTTGCTTGGGTTGTCTTCTGCCAGTAGAAGATCTGCAAAAGGTGGTGAAAACTTATTGGGGCGATATGAAGAAGGACATGTAAAACACAGCTGTTAAGATGTTCATATCCCCAGGACGCTGTGCTATTCTTTGGGGAGGTACTGGCACATGTCTGCTAGCTGGAGAGCTCTGTATCACACCTCCAACTGTACAGAGCTCTTGTCATCTCATTAGCACCCTCTGCAGAGGACACGCATGTTCCCAAATACACATATTGCCCGTTTCCACACCACTCCCACCAGCCTTCACCCAGCTGTTAACAACACAGGCTTCCCCAGCTCTGGTTTCGCATGGAAGTCTCGCCAGCCCTTGCGCCAGCAGCGAGGGATGGGTGAGAGCCGCCGCAACCAAACGCTAAAAGGCACTTCATCTTTATTGGAGCCATCCAGTGCCAATTCACTCACAGCAGCTCAGTGCATTACGAAGAATCATCTGTCTAACCTGCTGCAGATTTAAGGCAATTTTAGCTACATTACTGTTATTGCCAAGACCTCTGGGCAATAGAAATATTTATAAGTGCAGGCATGGGTAGGAAAGCGTAATGAAATCCCTCAGATAAATGCTTCAGTGTCCTGGAAAAGGAATAGCTGCAGTCAGCTTGTCTGGGTACTTCTCAATTTTTTTCAGGCTTATGTTCATGTTCGTATAAATTAGGGATAGAAAAGAGCTCTTGGGTCACCCAGTTTGTCACTTTAGAAATTGTTTCCCTCTGGTACAAGGGCTTCTTGAAAGTAGCAGGTGAGTATCAGCCTTACAAACTGTAAACAGGGCATTTACTGAAGATAAATATTGGTTTATTTTGTTAACAGACTGTTTAGCTTAGAGTTGCTCAGCCTGCAAAGGAGCAGAGCGAGAGACTTCTATGAAGCTTTGTAAGTAATAGTGATTGTAATGAAAACTGATCATAGGATCATGGGATAATTCAAGCTGGAAGGGTCACACCTTTTCCTTCAATAGAAGTGGAAATCAATCCAGTCCAGGCACAAAAGCACATTCTCTTTCTCACAGTGAGACAGGCTGTCTTGGTATCCGGTACCACAGAAAGACAAACAACAAGAGAGAGGAGTTTTTCAAAGAGCAAACATAATCCTTAATAACTAGAAATGGACTGGGACCAAAACACCCCGTCCAAATGCCTCTGGGAGTGCAGGGAAAGCAATGCCTGGATGAAAACTGAGAGGTTCAAGCCAATCCCTATTGCTAACATCTGCAGCTATGCAGGCTCAGATAATGGTGTGAGGATAATCACATTCATGCTGCAGGGTGTAATCTGAGCAGAGGTTGGTAAAGAAATGTTTTTTTCTCCATATCCTGGCACTGCACAGCTGTAGGAGGCTAACTGCATTGCCAGGGGTGAGATAGCATCATTATGTATAGTCTATATTACGGTAGTGCCCACAGTTTGCAGAGCTCTCTCCCAAACTTCTCAGCAGACTTGGGTAACTCACTCACAAGGAGAAGTTTGCACGAAGGAGGAACCTCAACAGCAGAGTGGTCATGGTGGTGCTTGGTAGACTCCCTGGATTTGGCTTCCCTTCTACTTAGCAAGGGTTGGATTTCTATCTCCAAGTCCACAGCAGGTCTGCCAGAGTATTTTGGGGACAAACCTAGAAGATGCACTTGCTCTAAACAGAGTAGTATTGAGCCTGAGGCAGCACTTGCACTGGAGCAAGGCTTTCTTCTTAGCACCATTGATGCTAAGAGGAAGGCAAGGTAGCTGCATTTCTAGCCAGTGTAATATCTTCTTCAAGAAGCATATGTTAGTTTTTCCCCTTTTTCTGCTTTCTGCTGATTGCTACGGATGAGCAGTTCCTACACATCCTTGTGCCTATATACAGCAGCCAAGCACAGCGTAAGATCATTCATGCAATGTTACGCAAACCTATCCTGGTTCCTATCAAAGATGGATCCTGTTTGCAAATCCAAATTCCCCAAATTCAGGAGGGGAGTGTGGGATGGTCGGTTTTGGCTCCTTTCTAACATCATTTGCCTGCACTTACTAACTTAGGTGTTGGGCTCCGACTTGCAATCGGGTCACCGTATTTAGCTGAGCTGCAGCAACTGTCTATCACCACGGCAAATGCAAAGTTATGTGCTGCGTCTTAGCGAAAGAAGATTAAGCAAAATTGCTTTGCCTTCTAGTTGGGATGGGCTAAGGGCAGGCACTTGGGCAGGTGCCAGGAGGAAGGTGATGTGCTGAAACCCAACTGTGAGTCTTTATTGTTCTAGTTACAAACAGAGTGATAATATATACCACAGGCTGCCTGGAGCGACTCCAGGTGCCTTGTATGGGCTTGTTTTTCCCGGGGAGGAGGAATCCCTGTCAAATCTGCATCTGAGGTGTCCTGCCAACAACACAGTAGCTGGTGATTGCAGGACAGAAAAGCTCAAGTCCAATAAAGTGCACTCATAAACTTTTAATTTAAGGATGTTGGCAAGGCATGAGTTGAAGCGTAGACAGGGGATCAAGACGCAACAGTGCTGTAAAGCAGCAGGAAACCTCCTCGGTCTTTCAATCCCCCCAGGTTTGAGCGAGGCCAAGAGGACAGTTTCATTATGGAGATCGCCGATATTGCACCCCTCAGGAAGATGAGGATTCGGACGGACGGGAAGGGGACTCGCCCGCACTGGTTCCTGGAAAGGGTAATGCACCTCACATTGCATGTCTCTGTGCAACCTGCTTCTGTTGAAAGCCCTTGAGAAAGAGGGGGAAGGCAGCAAGTAACTCGTTTTTATTAATTTCCTGCCGCTTTCCATTTGGTTTCTCATGTTTTTTTTCCTGCAGGAATTGAGTCAAAAAAGAAGAGAGCAAGGGCAAAAGCTGTGCTGTACAGCTTTACCACAATCTCTGCTGTTAGATCTCGCTCTCCATCCCTGCAAAAGAGCCTTGTCTTGCCACCCTGGCCACCTGCAATATTTTCTGAGTACCCTCAGCTCCTGCAGACCCCAGCCATACTCTGACCCTGTGGGAGAGTGGATCTCCCTCTACCAGGCAGGGACAGCTAGTGGGGGCCTGGGCCGGGTGGGACATTTCCAAATAATCCATCCTTTCAGATGAGGTATCACATCTCTCCCCTTCCCTTCTCCCTCTAGCACACAGGCAGATTTCTTTCTTTTCTTCTTCATACAATTAAGGTGTCGTTTTCTTCTTGCATTTTGAATACAGCATGCAAAACGGCTCCCACTGCCTCTGTTGATTGTATTTTTCCCTGGTGTCCTATCTCACAAAAAAGCACAGTCTGTCTGCTAATCTTTTCTACCAAACCACCAGCCCCATGTAAACTTCACTTATATTTGGGCAGTAAAACTTAGTTGGCTTGTTATGGGTCCCTGTAATCATATTTCTAAGATAGAGGTGGAGTGATGTGCTGATTCCACACCATCAGATGTCATTAAAGGAGGAACACCTCTCTGCCATGTTTATTTAGCATGTTTTTTTCTGGAGTAGAGATCCTGCTGGATTTCTGTATCTTGACTTTTTAATGAGAATAGTTTAAGACCCAATAGCTTAACTCATGGTCAGAAACAATAGTGCAGGATTTTTTTATTGGGTCCTTTACCCTTTTTGACTGGTCTGAAGCTGTCCTCCTTCATTTGTCCATAAATAATGCATTTCTAAACACTGGTCCTAGGTGGCCACCAGTTTCCAGTGAAGTGATGAACTGCTCTACACCTCCATTAGCATGGTCTAAAAAGCATTTCTGTACCTTTTGTACTGTAGCATTGTCACTTCTAAGTTTTTTCTCAGCAACTCTTTTGCAGCTCTCCAAAGCATTAGACTTCCAGCATATATCTTCCGAATGTATGCCACAGACCCAATTTTTCTCCTGTGCCTAAGGAATAACTCAATCTGTTCTCTGATTTGATTCAGTTATCTTGGTCAAACTCCCTTTGCCAGTTTCCCAATACCTTCTTGAGTTTTATAAATCATATTCATATAAAATGAAATCAAATAAAGCTTATTCATCCAGAGACATTCCAGATCTTGCAGTCGTGAGCTAGCAGTAGCTCAAAGGCAAGGGACAGTGGCATCTTTCGTGGCAAGTAACACCTTTACGTGTTCCCGGTGCCAGCCCTGTCCAGTCATCCAGCCTGCTGGACTGTCCCACCCAAAGCAAGGCTTTCCTAGAGAAGTAGACAAAAATGACTCTCATGTGGACCCATCTGATGGGCTTATAGCCCTCTTATATCTCTACAGAAGCAACAGGCAGACCATGCACGCAACTCTTTGAGATGAGGATTTTAGAAGCTTTTGAAAATTGTACCTGTAATTACTATTTTTCTTAAAGAAACAGAGCATGGAGGATATTCTAGCTCCAGTGATAGGTAAAGAACTTTATTTATTAGTTTTCTTTCTCACCTTTCCTGCAAAAGTTAATATAGCATTTGCATTCCCAGGCAGAGAGTGAGGACAGGAGTGCTCTGGAAAAGGGGAGGAAGGATTTGTGTTCTCTGATTTGTATTCCAGCCTTGAAAACTTATGTAGCCTGGTGTGACATGAAAACTGATCTGAGCCCATTTCCATTTCTGTCAAAAATGCATATTAAAACTGCATAATGAAATACTTGTGGGGGTAGTGCTAAACTCTCAGACAGATGGTTCACAGTTAGTGCTAACTAGCACAGTGAAATGAGAAGCTAGATTAAGCCATCAACCTCGTAATTAACCATTTGTTGCTCCATTTATCTACAGGATATTCTCAGTTTTCTTGTTCTATTAAAATAACAATAAATGATCTTTTTAATTCTCTTTGGTCTCTTTGTAAAATGTTGCTGGTCATAATTTATACTGCTTTTAGTTTACCAGAAATAGAAGTGCATAAATACCAATTAAAATGCATGAATTATCAATGATGTTGTACACAGCCAAAAGATTCAATTTACAAGCAGGGAAGTAGTCTTTTTTTTTTTTTTTTTCCTTTCTGTCTAGATAAAATACATTGAAATTTCATTCAGAATCTCAGCAAAGTAATGAACTTGGTGCCAAAGATTCAAACTGCACCAAAAGTGGCAATAAGATTTAAACACTTAAACTTAATCCTCTAGAGGGAACAAAATTTGATTAGTGATGTGTTGGGTGAGAACGAATATTATTGATTCTTGCTATGCACAGAAGGACATACCAAAAACTCTCTAAAGCTGAGCAACACTTTCTGATCTCACCACTGCTGAGAGAGACACAGAGTTTGGATATCTTCCTCTGATCTAATGCTGAATCTCATGCTCTTCCACATCAGGCTACCACAACGCTGCTTTGTGTTTCTGAAAAATCAGAGAATAAAAACATAGAATCATAGAACCACAGAATGGTTCGGCTTGGAAGGGACCTTTCAAGGCCATCTAGTCCAACCCCCTGCAGTGAGCAGGGACATCTGCAACCAGAGCAGGGTGCTCAGAGCCCCGTCCAGCCTGACCTGGGATGTTTCCAGGGATGGGGCATCCACCACCTCCCTGGGCAACCTGGGCCAGGGGTTCACCACCCTCATTGTCAAAAATTTGTGGCTTCTAATTAGGAAACTTATCTCAATGCATGCTTTGGAAACCTCCTCCTGGGACAGAGAGTTCCTCAGTCCATGTGGTGATTTCACCTGCTGCCCAGTGTCTTAGTTATGAAGTTGAAAAGCTAGAAGTAAGAAAGAATGAGAGCTCTCTGAGTGAAATAACAGGAGTTGTAAGACTATTGAATTCTGCAGTGTTGCTTCCTTCAGAATTTTAATGTTACTTTGTGCTGTCAAAGCCAGGCAGATAAGAAGCTGTCTTAATGAAGCACTAATTGCATTGCATTCAAACGTCACAAATTATCGTGAATGTGGGACTTGGGCTTTATTCAGTTCTTTTTCCTTTATATAAAGGTGATTAAGAGAATTTGAGACAATTCATTATAGCTGAAGCTGACTGTTCTTTGCAACAGAGCAAAGTCTTTTTGTTTTACAATCAGAGGATACTGTTTTTAAGCGAAGACCAATGACATGCAACAGGACCAAAAAAACATGCAATTGAGTCTTGAAAGATGAAATCCAAGATCTATGTATTTTTTTGTTAGTGAGGTGTGAGCCCCTGTGGACCATGTTTCACACTGTAGCTGGGAGAAGGCTGGGTTGAGGTAAAACAAATGATCAGACATGTCAAACCTTTCTGTTACAGCACACAATTAATTTCAAGTTGCTGTCAGCTACGATATTTGCTCAGCTGCAAAGCAAATTATTAACATTTTATTCATCCATATCACTCCCACTTCTTTTTCATTTCTATAGGTGTTCTACAGCCCAATTAAAACCTATGCATAATTAGTGATAATGTTTGAGCTTAAAAGCATGCAGGATGTCCGCAGCAAGTTCTAGGTATTGTAAAAAATAGTTTAGATGCAATGTAAAACAGCGTTCTCATTGCCAAGTGGTAGCTAACTTTTCTGAGAGGAACAGATAGAAAATAAAAACAGCTTCAGCTCAGCTTCCTGAGATGACTTTCTTGACCCTCATGATCCAAATCAAAATCCTGCATCATCCCGTCTGCGTGCAACACCCACAAACACCTCCTTGTAGGATGGGATTCATTTTGTGCTATTTTAGTCATTGAAAAAGCGATGTTCATCTTTCACCTCCTCTACCAAACTGTTCAGACCTTTTCTGTAGCCAGCAGAGAGACAGACCTGAGAGAGGGAGAGATGCCTTTAACGGCCATTTACGTGCCCCCAGCTTGGACGACACTGCCTGGGTGGGATGTATTGCTTCTCTGGTGATACCTAGCTCTGACCACTGACCATAGGGAGGGCCAGCACGATGTGCTTGGGCTGGATGCCCGGCGTTTAGGTGGTTCGTGCTAGGTAAGGTAGGCAACGTACTCATGTTGTGACCGAGGAATCAGCCTGCCACAGGTTTTCTGCTGCCTCTGCGTTCCTTGCTGTGATCTCTCCTGAGCAAACAAAGCTCGCAAAACGAATCCCTTGCTCCTGTCCGCTCCTCTCCAGAGCAGCACCCCAGAATGAGATAGCAGAGGCTGCTCTCTCCGTCTGTGCTAACTGCTTACATGAAGCTGCGTGTGGCTGAAATCGCTCATCCCGGGTGAGGGGCTGGGGATGGAAAGAGAAGGCATTTTGCTCCAGTAGTTTTAGTAGCCAGACAGCTTTCCTCAGACAGCATCTGGAGCGTTGGGCACAGGCTGGTTATTTGTGAGAGGTCTGATCTCTCTGTCTGTGAGTGCCCTCCAGCTGGCAACTCTAATCTGCTTCTACCCCCCACTGCTTTCCTGACATTTCCCTGCAAGCTTTGCCCAGGACATTTTGCTACTAACAGCCTTGCTGTCATTCCTAAGCACGGAAAAGGTAGAACTGGCTGAACCTTTTCCAGCAAAGAGTTTATGCACCAAGGGGAGGAAAAAAAGGCATTTTCAGTCCACTTGAGATTATTCACAATTCAAATTTGCAAATTTTAGACAAAGAAAAGTTTCTAGGTTGGAATCCTAAGAGGATATAGACATTGTTCACGCATCCTTGAGAGAGGAGCCTTCCTTCTGGTCTGTGCCCCAGCAGAGAGAGGGCACCAGCTGGGGTGGTGGAGACCTGATTTCTGCTTGGCTCAAAGCAAAGATTTGATTCAGCATCTCTTGACTCATAGAACAGTTTTTGACCACAAAATAATAGTGTCACTGGCTGTGAATAAGCAGCTTTTTAGAAAAGTGGGACAGCTTCAACAGCCCGAAATGTCCTGTACCTCTGGGATGAAGGTGCTGTGTTACAGATCCCTGTTTAGCATCAGGCAGAGAGAAAACCGCAGATGAGTGTCCTACCCATGGAACCACACAATGCACAAATAGCACAGCTACACTTCAGCTTTGGTGTAGCTACTGCCCTCTTTAAAATAATTTTTTATAACCTTTGAGCAACGTTCTTCTTTTGAACTGCTAAAGGCTCTGGCAAAGCTTGGTTGGGGTCAACAGAAGTGCATGGACTGGGACACATGCAGTTTGAGGACTGAATGTGAGCACATTTTATCTCAAGATAAGTTTTATAAGTTTCTTAGGCTGATATATGAGAGTGCAGCAGAAGGTCACTGAGATAGTCAAAGGGCTGAAGCATATGGCATATTAAGAAAGGCTAAGGTAAATGGAGTTTTTAAGCCTTAAGAAGAAAAGATGTGGGGGGAATAAAATTGCAGTCTTCTGCTGCTTAAAGGGAGGATACAGAGACCATTGATCCAGTATCTTCTCAGAGGTGAACAGTGAAAGGGCATGGGGCAATGGGCACAAGTTGCAACAAGGAAAATCCTGATTGGATAGAAGGGGAAAAAAAAATCTTCTTTCAATTGTGATGCAGTCCTAGCATGGAGGCCCAGAGTGCTGGGGGAATCTCGACCCTTGAAGCTCCTTGGAGCAGGAGGTGGGATTAGACGCCTCCAGGTGTCCCTTTTAACTTAACATTTTCCACAATTCCATGATTTGTTTCTTCCTAATGTCACATCACACTTCTCTGAGTCATCTGGGCTCACGTTTCCATGGCCTTTGCAGAGATGTGCCTTGCAAGACACTGTTTCTTGATGCCCTGCTTCACTCAGGTATGGTCTTTGTTTCTGTTAGAAGGTAACAAAAATTGTAATTTGCAGCCCTGTCTCCTCCCTTCCCTCCAACTCCCCCAACTGAGTGAGAATTTACTGCTAGGTTTTTGTTGTAGGCAAATGTAATGTCCTTCTCCCACTAGACTGATGCTCCACCGAGCCCACATTGAAACAGGACACATAAAGATGGGTATTTTATTGGATGTTTGTTGGAGTAGCTCACTGGCTTGTTCTAAATAGGTTCCTATTCTGTTATCACCACAGCATCTGAGCTCCTTCCCGTGACACATTAGACAGTGTGACTAATATCTGTTGCATACTGTTTGTTCTGTCACCTTTTCCCAGAGGGAGAAGAGTGTGAAGCATTAAGTTTTGCTGGCCTAATTTTATCTTGTGCATTGCTTTAACTTGTTTGGGGTTGGTTTGCATATCTCTACAATGATTGCTGTGTGTTTGCACAGAAGAGGCAGGTGAAAGAAAGATACTGTGTACTTCAAGGAGAGGTAGTGAGGGTTTTAATAACTCGCCGTTACTTCTTCTTTGGAGCTAATTCCATACTGGCTTCCAGGAAAGGTCAGAGTCTCTTAAAGATGAGTTTTGTCCATAACTTATGTCACAGGAGCAAATTTCTTCCTATGCTTTACCCCATGCATGAAAACGTCCAATATTATGAAGACCATTTCTCAGGACAAGTCACCACAGCAAATACTGTCCATAAGAGAGAGCTCCATTTATCCCAGAAGAGCTCAGCACAGGTTTTGAAGCTATGACCAAGCTCCACCCATGTGTTACCACACTGTGCACTTTATAAGTTTAATCTTTGCCCTCATTCAAATGGTAGCTGAAGTTTAGCTGAATTTTTTTCCCTTATATTGGTTCTTCACAGATCACCCTGAAGAACCTGACTAATCAAGAAGTGGCCATATTTACTTATGGTGAATGGCTGTCAAAGATGAAAAATGCCAAGGGAAGTCTTGTGTGTGAGATGCCAGCGGTCATAAATGATGAGCAGATGATGGAGGACACAACATACACTCTTCAGGTTAAAACCAGTGATGTTGGAGGTATGTCTGTGGTGGATATTTTATGACTTTTCTAGTATGAAGTTTCATTTTTAGCAATGGAATACCTCCTGCTTAATTTGAAATTACGTTTGAAAAAAGCATAATTTAGCCCTCCTATGATGGAACATTGCCATTTTGGCTGTCTGTTCATCATGACAGTGTTATTCTGTGGGCTTCATCCTCATCTGAGCTCCAGGCATAAAATATTTAGACACAAGGCCTAGATTTTACTGCTTGTTGCTTCCTCTGAAGACACCATAACAGAAGCTATTGCCAGACCACGTTGCAATGGTCAGGAGCCCCCTTCTTCTTTTTGGTCAACTCAGACCCATCCACATAGGATGGAAAAAAAAGGCTATGGTCAAAGCTGGTGGGCTGCAGGTTTCCAGTCAGCACTATCTGCTTTGGCCAAAGAGACGAGCAAATAATTCCCCCCCCTTTTCAAAGTGTTTTGAGACCTTTTATCTCAGGCCGTGAAAAAACATTCCTAAATGAACACCAGATAGAAGAGGTGGAACAGAGTATAAAGAAAGCTGCAGAGCTTCAAAAGCCAAGAAATGGGATTTCTATGTCATTTCCTGGGATCCCTGCCTCTTTTCATGAGAACTTCTGTCAGGCTGCTGAATGAAAGTTGCAACCACATACAAACTGCCTCATGCCAAAATGGGGCAAGTTAGACATCATCTTGCAGACACCTTGTTTGAAAGGTTGACCGTCAGATGGGATTCTGCCACACCAGTGCACATAATCCTGATCCTGATCCTGCTCCTGATCTCTACTTCTCTTTCTTTCTTTTTTCTTTTTTTTTTTTTTTTCCTGGATTTACCAGCGGTAATTTATGCAACTTCTGAGGTTTGATCTGAGAATATAAAAATTCCCCTGGCAGAGCATCTTCATGCCACCTCACCCTTTTTTATCTATCTGCTCTGCCTGCTGCTTGTCTGAAAAACATGTAGTGAAATACAAAAAACAAAAGCGAGAGAGGAAGATTTGTTTATGTATCTGGCAATCCATCTGGTATAATGGTAGATCTTTCTGTGACCTTTTTGTGAAATCCAGCCCTAACTCACAAAGGCAAAGGAAGTAGAAACGAGAGGAGAATAGAAGATGACAGCAACAGCAGACAGATCTGTCCTTCCCATTGAATGAGGGATGGCGGGTATTAATGATGAAACACTTTATTTCATTATGAACAGCAAAAACCAGTAGGAAAGTGCAGATTACAGAGAGATTTCAGAGAGTCTGTTTATGATTAGATCACACATAGTGCTGAACTTTACCCAGCTTATCTAAAGAGGGTACAAATCATGAACCACGTCCCCTCTTTGATCATTATGTATTCCACGATTACTCCCGGCTGAACCAATTCAGGAAAAAAAGATGTTTTATCCTTGACAGCTAGTTTAAACATGTTTTATCATCTCCTGCCACACTGACATTGTCTAGGGACAGGAATAGAATCAGATGTGTTTCTTTCTAGGTATAAAGTTTTCCTCTGCAATAGCTTTCAACTTTTCAGTGCACCAGAAGCATTGAAACAAACAAAAAAAGAAAATGTAGGGTAGGATTCATCTCACCAATTTGTAACTCTTAAAAAAAATATACTTGTGGTCTTAGCTCTTTCTAGTCTAGACTGTTTCTGGTCAGTTCATCTGGGAGAGAAGTCTTAAGCAGTGGTCTGGATCATCTTCTGGAGGGTCTCTGTCACTCTGTCTTCGTCAGATTCAGACAGAGCCAGCACAATTAAGTTAGGCTAGGTGGCTAAAGTTAGAGAAAATGAATCCCACAAAAAATGTCCTTCAGCAAACTAGAAAACAGCAGTGATTTTCTCCCCACCATATATACATATTTAACAAAAGTCCCACTTTTTCCTCAAAGAAGCCTTTGAGTTACAGTTTGGCTTTTCAGAAGTCATTCAACTTGGATGATCATATAACATACAGAGGCTGCATCAGGGAAAGACTCCTCTCTTGCAAAGGTCAAATCTCCTCTCTTGCAAAGGTAAAATCCAGAGGCCACCAGAAGTACCTCAGATGGCAGCTCTCAGCGTACACACAGATAAAGGAAGAAGAGGTTGTTATGGCAGACACATCCCAAGTCAGATGGGTAAACTTTGGTTAAAGCCAAAATCTTGATTTACTTTTGATGTTATAAGAGAAGGAACTCACGATCTCATTTTCTTCAAGGTATGACCCACAGACACAGCTGCAATAGAGCCAGACTGTCTGATGGTTCTTTCTGTGGCACAAAAATTTCCTCGCTTGTTATTTTTGATTTATGCAGACTTTCTGTATTCTATATGCAGGCATCATATACATGGTAATGCAATAAAGATGGAGAAAGAATAAATACTGCTTTCTCATTTTCCAAGCATTAACGAAGCAGGAGGAGGTTTTTATCTCTTAAGATTAATTAGTATGTTGTCAGTTCAGCTACAGCCTACAAATTACATAATTTAGGACAGTTGGTGTCAATTCCTAGTGCCTTATCCAAGTCTCTGTTAAGTCAAAAGAAGGACATTCTTTGGCCTCAGAAGGCTGTGACTCAAGCCTACACTTTGTTTAAAAATTATGCAGATGTTCAATAAGAATCATAAAATCATAGACACTTTTGTTGGAAGGGGACTTTGGAGGTTATTTAATCCATCTTCCTGCCCAAAGGACTATTGCTAGCATGAGGTCAAATCAGCTAACACTCTGCCCTTGGACATCTCCAGGGATGGTGATGTCACCACCTCCTCAGGTACCTTATCCAGATCTGTACTATTTTCCTAAGAAATACTTTTTTCCTGATGCCCAACCTGAACCTCCCCAGCAATTTGTGGTTGTGGCTCCTTGGGGTACAGTCTGACATCTCCATAGCACATGACCCTGTCATCATTATCACTGTCCTTCCAGGTGGTCAAGGGGCCCTTGTTCACCTGCCCCAGCTCCTGTCCATCTTGGCAACCAACTGCTGAGCCTTCCTCAGTGTCTTGTCATGATCCAGGGAATTAAACTGGCACCATGGTTGGCTCCAGTATGGGCTCTGCAGTGCTGAGCAAAGGGGGTAAGATCTTCCCTTCAGCTGCTGGCCATGCTCCTTTGGAGGTAGCCAAATGCGTGGTTTGCACTGAACACTGAAAACTTTCTGTTAGCTCAGATTCAACCTGAATATTAATGTTACTGCTGTAACCTCTGGGTCTTCTTCAACTCCCCAGCATGTACACGTGCAGGGTTATTTCACCCCAGATGCAGAACTTTGCATTTCTCCTTGCTGAACTTCATGGGATTTCTGACTTGCTCAGTCCTCAAGTTTCTCAAGGCCCATCTGGGTTGGCATTCTGCCATTCAGCACATCAGTCACTCCCCTGAATTTAATGTTATTCAGAAATCTGCTGAGGATGCACTGTCATTGTTTAGGGTGTTGATGATGGAGTTCAGTGCTGCAGACCCCAGTATCAACTCATGAGCTATTGCACTCATTGCCAGTTGAGTCTGGTGCAACCACAGTACCTTTATCTCTTCATTTGTCAAATTTGTTACAGTTCCTAAATGTGCCCGACAGTTTCCTGGAATTAACAACAACAACAAAAAAATCAGAGACCCAAATAGGTGAAATGTACATTGATTCAGCAATTTCTGTGCTTTTCTTTCCCATCTCCTGTTAATTGCTTGTGAGGGAAATGTCACGGCATGAGGCCTTCATAAGCTTCTTCCTGTGGGGAAGGTTTTGCTAAGAAACAGTTGGGTTTGTGCTTTTTGAGACCTTGCATTAATTGGGAGCCTGCTCCTTGCAAGGAAATGGACTTCAGTTTGCTTTGTTCCTCACCTCAGCAAGCTTTAGGGTCATAAAAGGTACTGCATGTACAGATGAACTGCCTGAATCCCTGATGCTTTCTCTTCCTTCTTAAGTCCTTCACGGGGAACTGCTGAAAATTAGCCCCAGTTTAACATAGACGATTTTTCACGTGGACACCAAATGTTGCTTTGCCTTTTCTCTGTATGACTCTTTTTCTCTTCCTTTTTTTTTTTTTCTTTTAGTGTTTTTTCAATCCTTCTATAGGAAGAGTTGTGATTTCTTCCTAATTTCTGTATTCAAATAATTATCCTAAAGAAGTGGCAGCTTTCTCAAGAAGTTTTCAGTACTCCCAACTTTGTCTCTGCATTGTGTTGTGAATGGAGCTGCGGGAAATACTATCCGTGTGGCCCAGAGTTTACAATACTCTTGTGTAAGAAATGGCTTGGCAGGCAGTTAGATTTTTCAAAGCTGGGCTATCTAACCGAGGGCAGCAGATGCTGAGTTTCTTTGTAAGACAGATTTGGGATTGATGATCTCATTTTCATTTTCCAAAATTTAAGGGCTTTGGTTCGGACACAGCAATGAATGTCAGCCCATCTGGAATCAACCTGCTTTCTATGAATCCGCTTTTTTATTATGACATCAAAAATAAAAAGCAATGATTTTGGTCAAATTATAAATAGTGCCAGGTAAAAATGTTGTAACACCTTCAGCTACAATGTTCATAAGGTCACTGCAGATGGTGGTTTGGCCTCCAAAAGTCAGGAGAATTGACAGCATGGTTCTTTTCTGCGGCAAAACATGCACAGCAGTGGGCATATGAAATTCAATATCAGGTAATAAAGATCATCTTAAAAATTATTCTTTTCCTAAGATATATGTAAAAAGAGGTGGAGCAAACTGCTGTATGAGAAACTGGGACTTCTTCCACTGAATGCAGCATGGATAATATTTTGAGAAGCAGGAATATAGAAGGAAGACCTATGGGAGGGGAAAGTAGGCCACCAGATGCCGTAGTGGTTTGGTTGATGATCTGCACTCTGCTTTTAAATCCCTGTGCCATGCAACACAGGGAGAGCCGTATGAGGCAGACCCCCGCTGACGTGTCCTGGGTGCCACAGGACAGCTTGGAGGAGCTTGTGGGACTGCAGAAAGAGACCACAGTGTGGAAAAGGGACTGTGGCCCAGTGGGAAGCCCAGGACAATGTGTACTAATACTTTGTAGCTAGAAAAGTTAAAATATGTTCTTTAACACTCTTTCATAGATTGCTGGATGTTGCTGGGTAAGTCACTTTTCTTCCCAAGCCACCTTGGGAAAAAGGGAGTCACGACACTGACATCCTCTGCAAAGCGACGCGATGCACAGTGCTCCGTCAACAGCAGATACTCCTGCTTCCAATTAGTACTGCTGTCATCGTGGTCACCACACCTTGAATGCAAGGGCGAAGCGTTCCACCTGTGTTCAGGGGATGAGCTGGAAGGGCTGGCTTGTTAGCTCCCATGGGGTGCCCTCCTTGCAGGGCGCAAACTCACAGAAATTCTTTGGCTGTGCCCAGAGCAACATGAGCATCACTCCAGCCTCGTCCAGCCTGCCGTTGCTGCCTCCATTTCCATGCGACTGGGGCTGGGTGTCAGCCCTGCGTGGCAGGCTAGCTCGTAACCGTGTGCCTTGGTCTCTTCTTCCAGGAGCGGGCACCGATGCCAACGTGTCCTTGATCCTGTTTGGGGAGAACGGGGACAGCGGGACGCTGGCTCTGAAGGACTCCAACAAGTCTAACAAGTTTGAGAGGAACCAGATGGACGAATTCAACTTCTCGGACATGCTGAGCCTGGGAGATCTCTGTAAAGTGCGGATCTGGCATGACAACAAAGGTCAGGGCAGGGACTTGAGGGGGGTGGTAAAGGGCAGGACAAACGTTTTCACCTGAGGAAACTCATCCTCCTCTGAGGACATGGGGCAGGCTGAGGGCACTGCTCCCAGCTCTGCTGCATCTGGGTAGCCTCAAGTATTTTACCTGGATCCTGTGTCCCAGCTTGGCTGCCTCGACCCTTCATGCAGGAGACCATCTCCCTGCGTGCTGGTGTAGTATCTGCCTTAATGGGTCCCCACCTTCAGTCTGAGCTTATAGCCACCACTGCAGCACTGATAGCTACTCCAAAGCCATCCAGCCTGTTACCCCAACACGCTGACTCTATCAATGCAATACCTTTTTCACTGGTCAGTATGGCACTTTCCTAGCAATTTACTGTCATCCTGACATCAGCACCTGGGGTAATGCAGCCTGGCATAACTCAGTGAGCTGTAGAAGATAAAGATTTGTGTCTGTCTTTATTACAATCACTACATCAGCTGGTGAGTGTGCAGTGCCCTGCTGAGAGAGATTCTGACATTTCCCCACTGCTGGATACCCTAACTGGTTTCACACACAGCAGAGCCACTGCCATAGTCATTTGTGTTGTCATTCAGGCACCAAGCAGCATCTTGTAACAAATGCATCACTCACGCTGCTGTGACGACATCTCATCCCATTCCACCTTCATCTGAAAGAGATGATCTTGCATTAATGATGACTTGCTTGCTAATGGCAGGCCCTTCCTTCAGCCTAAAGGTGAAGCTTGATGGTTTCCATAGACCCACCTGGGTCAGTACCAACAAGGCAGTTTGGGCAGCAGTATCCATCGTAGTCCTGGGAGGAATGGCAGCAGGACTACCCAGTCATTACCTGGTTGTACTGAGGCAGCTGGTTTATGGCTGGGCTGGGGTTATATGTCAGTATGGACACATCCTGGCCATCATCTTCTCGACTTCTCAAAGTTGTGGCAGATGGGGAAGGCTGCATCTCATGCAATATTAATAAAAGATGCTACCTCTTGATCAGACTCTCCCACTGGAAGTTTGCCTCCTTATTTTTATTTAAAAAAATAAAAGAAAACTTATTGTAGCTTCTGTCTGTTGTGAAATACGAAATAGGAAATACCAGCATCCACCTAACATGATCGTTTATTCCCAGCCACTGCAAGCTTTGGGCTTGTATTTATCACTCCCACAACACAGGACAATTTAGCTGATTAACTTCTGTAATATCATGTTATATAGCTGGTGCTGAATGCAGTAAGGGAGCTGCTTTTACCTGATTTTAGTTGCCAAAATACTTATTCTTTGAATCTGCAGTTTAGATGCAGAAATGGAAAGATCTATCAAAATACCCACTAGAGCTTTAGCTCATCAAACAGGCATCTCTGCAGTTGCACGGGTGGTTCAGAAGTCCTTCTGGGAGCAGCAAGAAATCAATGTGGACTTGCAGATTCCTTTTCAAACATATTACCAGCTAAAATGTCTACAAAAAGAACATTTTCCTCAAGAGGCATTATGGCTCCCTGGTGACTGGTCATGCTGACAGAATGAAATACACCCACCAGAGCAGAGCTGCTCCTTAGGGCTCAGGCACGCTCAGGCTGCCATGTAGGAAGATGAGAACTGGGTCAGACCAAGGGTCTGTCGAGTCCAGAAGCTGTTTCCAACAGTGTCACTGGGTGCCCGAGGAAGAGGAGGAACTGGGTGAGCCTGTGTAATCCTTCCCCAATCCTCTGCATCTTACGAGGCGTAGCTCAGGGCGTCTCCTGAACTCAGTATCATTTTTGTCCTTTAAGTAACTTTCAGTGAATTTTCTCATTCAAGTGCTTGTCCAGACTCTCCAGGAGATATTTAGCACCCACGGCATCCCGTGGCGATGAGTCTCATGAGTCTGCTCTCTGCTGCATGACAAGTGAATCCTGTGGATCTAGGCACTTGGCTGCCTTTTCCTTCTTGCACAAGTGGTCATGGTTCACCTTCTCCGTGCCACTGATGATGATGTTGATACAGATTGGAGAGTTACCACATTGCAGCTGAGCTATGGTAGTTGCTATCTGCATGCTCTTGGTTAGTGGCAAAGGGAAGTAAATGAGTTTAGCCTTAGGCTAGGCAGTAAATAGGCTCAGTTACTTTAAATTTGCTGTGGGCTAAGAGCGTGTACCCAGAGAGCCACCACAAGCCAGCTAAAATAGTAAACCATGTGCCCAGAACCTGAAAAAATGCTTCATATTTATGAATATAAATACACATTGCAACCTCATATTTTCTTTCCTTATTTCCCCTCGTATCACTGGTTTCCATTTATAAATAATAGTTAATAGGGTTTTTACCAGACCTAGCTGACTGCACGGTTAAGCCTTGGACAAACAACAAGCTCAGGTTTTGTTCAGCAAAAATGTACTTGTTTTTCCCCCTAGAAAGAAGGACAACTGCAGTTTAAATCATAACATATGTTGTCTTCATTGTTCTTGCATTAGTCATGTGAAAGGCATATCCTATCTAAAACTTCACACAATGCAGCATGACAGTTTGTTGGGTGGGTAGAGTATTTATTACTGCTGGGATCCCAGGCTATAGCTATCCTTTGCATATATGCTTGCTCTCTCTATATAATTTATATAAATTGGCTGTGCCACTGGTTAGAAATTCCTGGCTCTATTTTTTGGAAAGGATTAGTGGGGTCAGGGTTCGAGGGTCATGTATGTTTTTTGTCAGATGCTTGGGGGACTTTGGGTATTAAAGAAAAATGTGCTTGTATTTACCATTACTTTGAGGCATCAGATGTTGATCATTCTTTCCTTAGGTTTTTTTTTTTTCTTTTTTGGACTAAATGGTTCTCTGCCAATGGTCTGTGGAAGACTCAGACTCACACTGGCCTACCCCATTGGTCCTCACATGCTGAACGCTTGGAACATGGTTGATGTTCTTTTCCTAATTTTCTCAACAATCAGCCTCAATGACAGCATCAGTCTGTTTTGACTCACATCAGCTGCCTTTAGCTACTTAAGGGAACTGCTAACCATCAAAAGGCTTCTTTTCCTTTCAGACATCACCTGGTCCCAGCAAGAAGTCAACCAATCTGCCGCCATTTCAGGATAAAATACATTTAAGTGGCTTGCCCAAGGTGGCTACTTTGCCATGAAATCCAGCTCAGCATCCATCCCCATCAGTGAAGCTTTGCTGCAGTGGCTTTGCTCCCAGTTCACATCCCACTTTTGTTTATCTTTTCACTGAAATTTGACTGCAGTGGGGTGTTCAGAGTTGAAGAGACAGTAATTGCAATGGCAAAGACTGTCAGAAGGTCTTTAAATTGCAAACACTGCATTTACCTCCTCTGGAAAAGCATGTCAGTTTTATGGTCCCACTTTAATGCCTTTAAATGCCATTTTCCCCGCAAAAACTGCTGAGCGGCATTTCTGTATGAGATATACAGGAGGAATGAAACCCCCATCTAATTCCTCTGACTTGAGCAAAATTGATAGGCATTCATTTGAAAACAGGCGGTTTAGAGACTTCACAAGTGCAATTTCAAGGAACTTGTTCCTGATTTTTCATATGTTTAGAGCTCACCAGCAAGAGTCTGGTAACAATGAATTTCTGTGAATGAAACTTAGTTTTAAGTTTTGCTGCATGTCTTTTTATCTTGCCCCTGTTTACTTTGAGATACTGATGTTCGACCTAATATATTGAGACTCCCTGAGCAAATTTAACCGCTTCCAGACTCCCCATCTCCTGATCTCAGATAGGCACTATGTATTTTCTCATATCCGAGTTCATTTACTTCTACATTTATGCAAGATCAGTATCTGTAGGTCTGTAGAAATGCTGGCTTTCTAAATATAGGCCTCAATTTTTTCTCTGGTTTAAGGTCTAAATCACCATTCTGGAATAGTGGCTTAAAGTTTGTCAGTATCTCAGTAATGGAATTATTTACCTATAAAAAGCTTTTTTCCCCCCTTTTTTTGTTTCCTTTTTCTCCTTGCAACAAGGAGATGTGGGAAATCTGGATTTAGCTCCCTCATCTGCCTGAGTAGATTTGAACCCAGAGGATAAGCAGTCTTTCTAAAGTCATTAATTTCAGGTTCTTGATTATCTCAGTAGCCATCAGCCAAGGGGAGCCAGGAAGAGTCTAATTACCGATAAACCAGACTTCTCTGTTATTATAGGAGCAAAGACAGAAGTAAATACCAAGGTTATGCAGCCCAGCTTCTTCTTTGCTTCAACAGGGCCCTTCTCTCAATTACACCGACTGGTTTGACATTGTCTAATTGAGTTTTAAATAGCCTAACTGCCCCAGTGACTCCTTTTATGTGGCTCTTCCAGCGGAGAAAGTACCTTATCCCCCTTTCTTGATCTGGACCCAAGTCAAAAGCATTGCTATACCCTTGTTTTTCCTTTTCTTTCTCTGAAGGAACTACCTTTTTAAGGAGCAGTATCTTCGATCAGATCTTGAATTGCCCAGGCCTTGATCTCTGAGGACATGGCTTTTACAGGGATATGTTTCTGCAATTCAGAGACATGTTTCCAAGCCTTTTTGGCATTTGTAGGCCATAAAGTATTAAAAGAAACCTAAATATCTGCCTTTTTAGCCCTTTGTAAGGATTTGCTCAGCCATCAGACTTGAGAAGGGCTTTTCTAAGCAGTCTTCTCAGCACTTAACTGTTGCTTCATAAACTCTGCTGATCCATGGGGCAAATTTGTTGAATATTTTTTGCTGTAAATATAAAGTCAGAGGAAGAGAAATAGATATGCAAAACTGCCCAAGGAGACGAGAATCCATCATCCCTCCTGTTTTCTTGATGGCTCAGTACAGAGGAAGAAAATGTCAACTCCTGCATCTTTCTGCATGGACTGAAGTCAACACCTTAGACAAGGCACAAACAGGCATGCACGCTGCAGACCTGTGTAGCATGCCAACAACCATGCCATGGCTGCTTAGTCCTTCAGATTGCCCAAATCTGGCTTCAGCACCTCGGGAGACCCCAGCACCAACCCACAGAGCCCTCCTCACATGCTA